TAAAAACATAATTAACTATAAATAAATATTGATATTTTAATCAGTAGGTTTAAGCTCATTCCACTTAAACCTATCAATATGCAAGCCAATCTAGGTAGCCACGTGATTCCTTAAAACGATATTGCTTCATCACCCAGATATCAAAATGCACAGCATCAACTAACCCAGCTGCCGATAGACACCCATTGAGCACGGAAAGATTGTAGCCACGTGACACAAGTCTTTGACAAGGTGGGTGCGGAATTTCTTCGAACGCCTCATCTGCAAGCTCGAAGGAGATAATACCGAAGATAGGATCGATTCCTCCCATCCCAACAACAGTCAGCCAATGGAGAGATCCTTCAACTAAAGCTTCAGGTGGTCCGATTTCATCCGCCAATTGTGGAGGCGGAGCTCCTTTGTTTCTCCACTCTGTTGTTCCTACGGTACACACCTGAACCATTGGTTCATAAACAGTGGTGAATTCTTCATCCACTTCTTCCACATCTAGCGCCGGGTCTACTACCTTCATGATCTTCTCGTGCCACACAATCTTGACCACTTTGAATTGTCCTGTCCTCGAATGAAACCCAAATCCAAAAACTTCAAGTTGATTTAGAAATTGGTTCGTTGGTGGGACTCTCACAGCATCTCCAACAAAAGGATTGTAAATTAGCAGACTGTGAGACTCTGATGAACCACCGATTAAGGGAAAGGATAAGCATAACAGCCCGTTACAAGAACCCACCGGATTATAAACTTCTGAATGTTGTGGTGGGTCGATTTTCCTAACCCTTCTACTACAACCCTCACTATCCAGAAAATAGAGTTGCAGCGAGAGCAACGAGAGCAGCGGGAGCAGCGAGAGCGGCAGAGTCAGGGCGCCGTCGGTGAGAAGAGAGTGCAGACCAAATTCAATTCAAAATTGAAATTCGAGGGTTTTAGGGTGAAATTGAAATACACGCAATTTACTCATGACAATTACTTGGTTAAAAGACATGTATTTCGTCTAAATTCAATTACATTTTATTTAAATAAAAACAAACAGTGAAATTGAATTTGAGCACTCCAAATTCAAATACATACTCTCAAATTCAAGTTGCCAAACAGAGCATAAATAATATGTTATGATTATTTTAAATTCGCAATAGAGAATACTATGTATTATTATAAGTACATATTTTTTAATATAGAAAGGATTACTTTAGTTAGTGCCTTGATTGATTAAAAAAGAAAAGTTGATGGGCTAAAAATTAGTTTTACCTGAAGCGAACTTTTTGAAAACAAGTTACACTGCACGGGATGTGCCGTACGCAACTTTTAACAAGAGCCGTGTGATCAAAATTGTGAGAATGATTGTAATTTTTCAGCCGCTCCTGCCCCCTCATGTGGGACCCACAGATTACGCTTCCCCAACCGTAGTAGTATGCCCCCTAACCATGGTGATCTCACGCGCCATGGTGTAGCTCACTCGTCGGCGACCCATCCTAAGATTGGCAGCGAAGCAAGGTTGGTGTCGCCCTCTTTTTTTTTTTTGAATTTATTGTCCCCCTCCGACTGTCGTTTTTAACGCTCTTCTCACCGCGCTTGGGGGCACAATGGTTCCAAACGTACAATTCAATTTACCCGACCTTACCCTTTCTCTCTCTCTCTCTCTTGTTTTTTGGGGGGAGTGATAATGATATTCTACGCACAGGCACAGCACCACTCCATCTTTTTGTCATTTGGTTTCCCTCTCTCTCTACCGGCGCTCCGCCGAGAAAGAAAAAAACAACACCGCTTCGCCAATTATCTTGAAGTGGAATCCTCCGTTTTTTAGATCTTCCGTCCGAGCTTTTTTAAAAAATATGTCTGAAGAAGAGAAATTGTTGAAGGAGGCGAAGAAACTGCCATGGGAAGACCGACTGTTGCACAAAAACTGGAAGGTCAGGAACGAGGCCAACATCGACTTAGCCGCTGTCTGCGATTCCATCACCGATCCTAAAGACGCGAGACTGCGAGAATTTGGTGAGTCATATTGTTAGGGCTTTTTTTTTTCTTTGTTTCGATTTCTCAGATCTGATTTCTCTAAATTGTGTACTGGATCTGTGCCTGTTCCATTTTTTTTCAATTCACGGGGCAAATGTGAGTTGATTCTGTGCCTTTTATGTTTGAATTTGGACGCAGGTCATCTTTTCAAGAAGACGGTGGCGGATTCTAATGCGCCGGTGCAGGAGAGGGCGCTGGACGCGTTGATTGCGTTCTTAAGAGCAGCTGATGCTGATGCCGGAAGGTGAAGCTATTTGTAAAATTTTTATGACTTTCTGCATTTTTTTGTCTGCAATTTTTTTGTATTGATTCAGATTTTGATTTATTTATTTATTTATTTTTTTGCCTGTAGGTATGCGAAGGAAGTCTGTGACGCCATTGTAGCAAAATGTCTTACTGGTCGGCCTAAGACAGTGGAGAAGGCACAGGCAGCATTTATGCTCTGGGTAGAGTTGGAGGCTGTGGAAGTTTTCCTGGTTTGTATCTGAAGTCTAAAGAATTATGATACTTTTAATTCCATTTCCTCCTGTAGCATGTTTTATCAGGTTACTTAGAATTTAGTTTATTAGAACTTAACAGTTCGAAAGGAATATTAGGGTTACTATATGCTGATAGAAGCTAATTTCATGTGAATTAATAATAATGTAAGCTGCATTGCCTATTATTTGCAAAAGAGCTCTAAACTCGGTTTTTTTGTTTGTTTTTTTCTTTTTCCCTCTATTTCTTGATGTTTTTAGAGTTTCTTTCACCTGCAATAGACCAAAAACCTTAATTCTTAACCCAAAGTCCTTTCAATTGTAAGCAGCCAGATCTACCAAGAAAAAGGGCAACAGACTTTTAGCAACTAGTGCATCAATATTTCTTTATGAAGTTCTGTTGTTTCCCAAATTTGGTTATCCTAATTGTTAATGCTTTATTTTTGGTGTTTTAGAGATGCTATCATATAAAAGGTGCCACTAAATATTGAATAGTATGCTTTATGAAGTGCAAGTAGAGTCAAATCAACTAGTTTTGACTAACTAGCTTCAATTAGACAGTGCCATTTCAAGGTATCTATTGTTGCTTTGGAGAGAGGTTCTTGGACTGCTGTAGGTTCAAAGCTCCATTTTAGGTTCTGAGCTTTATTAATTTGAATTGGAGTTGTTTTCAGGCAATTACTGTTACATGGTTAAGAGTTGAGAGAAAAAGTAGGCATGTAGGATCTAGGCTTTGTAGTGAGGTACCATATGAGGTTTATCCAGTGTTGCAAAAGGTGATGCCTAGGTTTGCCTGGAATGTAGATGACAGGTGGAAGATGCCATGTGCTAAAGTAGTAATAAAGGCTTTAGCTGTTGAAGATTCTTGCGGGATCAAAGTCCTATTCGAGTGACTAAGCATCTTACATATTCCACTTGCTTGTATCACTCTCTAGTTTAACATGTGCAGTGTTAGTATAGTGTATGAGATGCCTATTTTCTTCCATGGTAGATTTGATTGTGTGGACTGATTTAGTGAACAGCATCCTTATAAAATAGCTTATTGTTTTCATAGACTCTGTCTGGTTTCATTTTTTTCATCTACTCATTATGTTTTTTTATCATGGATTTTTTTTTTTTCTGTTTCATGCTTTTATTTTCTGAGAAGTGGCATAAGAGAGATTTAAGCTATTTGTGCTAAAGAATGGTAGAAGTTGTAGGTAAAGCATTGAAAACCTATCTGCTCAACTGCATGGATCTAATGCCTGCAACTTGTGACATGTTCCTTTTAGGAGTGAAATAAAGAAGTTGGTCTTTTCTCCTGTACCTTTTTGTGTAAAAAGTTACGTTCTAAAAATTTAAAACTTTCATGTGTTTGTAGGATGCAATGGAGAAAGCTATAAAGAACAAAGTTGCCAAAGCTGTTGTGCCTGCAATTGATGTCATGTTTCAAGCTTTAAGGTTAGTGCATGAATCCCCTTGGTTCAAGTTTTCTATTAGTTCTTTTACATAACGTGGTAATCTAATTGAATGATCTGATTCTTTATTTATAAATAGTGAATTTGGAGCAAAAATTGTACCCCCTAAAAGGATCCTTAAGATGCTTCCTGAACTTTTCGATCATCAAGATCAAAATGTTCGTGCATCCTCCAAAGGACTCACACTTGAGCTTTGTCGTTGGATTGGAAAAGATCCTGTTAAGTCAATTTTGTTCGAGAAAATGAGGGATACAATGGTATGATAAATCTTGACTTATTGATTTTGTTTTTAATATTTATTTCCTGTTGGGAAATGAGATATTTGCTTTTTGTTGTTTGAAGAAAAAAGAGCTAGAGGCCGAGCTTGTCAATGTAACTGGGACAGCCAAGCCAACACGGAAAATAAGGTGAATGCATATTATGAAGGAGCTCTTCTCTGTTTTTGTCTGTTATATGCATGTATGTTGAAACTATATTGGAGCATTTTAGTCAGTGAATTCCCTTGGTAATAGAGTTGGCTTTTCATTAACATCTGTTTTTATACAAGAATTGAGAGGAATGTTGATGTCTCTCTAGTGTATCGGTTTAAGCTTTAAAATTAGGAAGGATTAATGTTATTCATAATTCAAGATATGCTATCCAGGATTCTGTATCAAAACTGTATTGTTATCTTCAAAATACACATGAAAATAATTAAGAGGCCTGGGAAACTTTTTTAGAGGCTACAGTTGTTACTTTATATGGTAACCATAAGTTGTAGAGCGTGTTGGTGTTGGAGTGTAGTAATTGAAACCTTTAAGTTTCCTATTGATGACTTTATTATTAATGCTTGGAGGAGTGAGGGACATTGAGGTTTGGATTTTTGGTTGATTATCTCTGGGACGCTGTTGTAAAGGCTGTGTCATTGCACTATAAAAAGTAATTTGGTCTCTCATGCTGGATTATGATTGGTAGTTGGTTGGTCTGTGCTTCAGCATAGTTTGAAAGATGTTTCTAAAGCAATGGATTCTGTCTTGAAATATTAAACTCTAATTGTTGGATTCCAACAATTTTTGGACCTCATGTAAGATCTTAATAAATGGGAAAACTCATTCTAAGACATGGATCGCTAATGAATGAATATGTGGTGAATTTTGAAATTACTAAGGTGCCAAGTCACGGTTAAGTTTGTAATCTTCATGGAGAGATTCAGCGGCATATGGGCTGTGTGGTCACTGGCTACTGCCTTGCAGAAAATAAAAATCTTGCATCTTAACTTCGACTGATCTTCAAATGCCAAGGAGAACAATTAGTATATACGGACCTTAGTGGCTGGAGATGGGATTTGTTTTAGTTTTGTAGTATGCTAATGGAATCCTCTGTTCGTAGATGCAGCTCATATGGTAAATGAGTATATTCTTTGAAGAATTGGCATCTACATGTTTTTCCTACCCTTTTCTTAATGTTTTTTCAAGTTTGAACCCATGGGGTTCATCATAAGCCAATTGAGAATGTTAGGGATTTTAGTTGTTCCTTCTCATGTTCAAGTAGTTACATTCTTCTTTCAGGTCTGAGCAAGACAAGGAGCCAGAACAGGAGGCTGTTACTGAAGCTGCAGGTCCTGGGCCATTAGAAGAATCTGCTGCTGATGGTACACAACTGGAATAATAACTTAGATTTGATAATTATCTTACATCTTTATAATGCTGATCTTCTTGTTCTTGGCATGCATTTCTTTATTGTCAGTTCCTCCGGAAATAGATGAGTATGAGCTTATTGATCCTGTTGATATTTTAACTCCTTTGGAGAAGTCTGGATTTTGGGATGGAGTGGTCAGTACCTTTTAACTTGCATCTTTCTCATTTGACATGCCATGGATCCTTTTTTTTTTTTTTTCTTGTTTGTTTGTTTATGTGATTTGCTTTTATCTGACATTGTTATCTCTGAATTGCTATTTTGCTGGTATCATTGATCATTTCTTTTTCTTTTTTTCTTTTTTGTTTTTTGTTTATTACTTTTGCTTGGTATGTCTTTTGTCTCACATTGATGAGTTGTTTCTTAATTATTAAAGTTTTATATGGTTGTTTAAGAATTTTTCTGGCAATTTTTTCTGTTTTTCAGAAAGCTACCAAGTGGTCAGAAAGAAAGGAAGCTGTTGCTGAGTTAGCCAAGCTTGCTTCAGCGAAAAGGATAGCGCCAGGTGATTTTACAGAAGTTTGTCGGACATTGAAGAAGGTATGTCTATCTACTGTCATTTGGGCAACTTACATTTTTGCCTTGTTTGTTTACATTATGGAATAAACATATTAATATATGAATTACTGTGAAAGAAAAAACTGTATGGTTGCATTTTACTATCTTGGATATTATAGTCGGGTTACTCAAAAAATAACAATTGGTTGTCTTCTTTACCAGCAATACGACTTTAATGTCAATGAGTTTGATAGGATACTTTTCAGCACTTTAAGGTGCATTCTTTGTGGAGGATTATGGTAGAAAATAGTAAAGTAGTGTCTTCTCTGTTGTTAGTGTTTGATAGGATATGTTTCAGCTTAATGTTGTCGGGCAATGCCATGCTGCTCTAGTTTAAGAAATTGACATGTATGTTGTCTTTTATATGTGTGCTGTCTATTTTTATTGTCTGTCTACCTGTGTCCTATCTTAATTTGTGTTATTTTTCTGTATATTCAATATTGTAAATTCTTTTCTATTCATGCAGACTAAATTTGCTGAACTTTTTGGTATTTTCTGTATTTCTGCTTGCAGCTTATCACAGATGTGAACATTGCTGTTGCAGTTGAAGCCATCCAAGCTATAGGCAACCTTGCCCGGGGTTTGAGAACTCATTTTTCTGGGAGTTCCCGGTTTTTGTTGCCAGTTCTACTTGTAAGTGCAGTAGGATTACTTAGTATGTATGCACACACTTTTTCTTTTGTTCCATATTTTTCAAAAGGGTAAATATTAATTTTTGTTCTCAATCTCTAGTGAACATCTAGTCTTTTACCTTTTTTCATGTTAACTGGATCCCTATCCTTGTGATTTGTTTCAATTGGATCCATCTGTTAGATTATCTCTCAAATTGAATGGAAGCATTGATCCCAATCAACTCGAGGTTTATCCAAACACCTCAGTACCTCTTTTGAATGGATTGTCTTTATATATTTTAACATGAAAATTTAATTTTTATTATTACTTATTTACATTTTAAACAGTATGCAAAATCTTATTAAACTACACAAGTACATATAGGCTTCATGGAGACCTTTTTCACATAGCACCTTATCTAAAATTTTAAATTTATAATTCTTAAGTAATTTGAATTAATTTTTATATAATCTTGCTAATTTTAATCAATGTTTTATATATTTTTTGTATAGTAAAAGACAAAAACCTATAGTTACAGCACAGCTCAGTACGACACTAACAAATGAAGATATAGTGAATGGCTTTCTTGTAAAATTTTCAATTTTGATTTCTTTTAATGTTCTCATCAGCTTATAGTTAGTTTTTTGAGTTTAGATCCTAGGTTTGGCCTTTACAGTGAGAATGTTTTAGTTCCAAAATAACATAATGGTCTTTACTGGGCTGTTGTTCAATGCTATCCTGAATTTGCCAAAGAGTTATGTAAAATATGCCTAGTTTATGTAAAATAATAGTTTTGTAGTTTCACAGCTTAGTGTTATAAATTAGATTCTATCTGTTGTTAATTTTAGTAGTTAAGGGGTCCCTCCATCTGAAATCTGATTCATATTCCAATAAAGGAGTCGGTTGAACCTTTCCTCCCTTGTGCAAAGGTTGTACCTTTGTTTTAAATTTTCTGAAGTTATACCTGGCAAATTTGATTGTTTGTTTGTACCCTTGTTATTGGTCTTTTTTGATTTGGGCTGATTAAGGTGCTTGGCTTTATCTTGTTACTGGCCTAACAAGTGTCTTATTGTACAGGAAAAATTGAAAGAGAAAAAACCTGCATTGACTGAGTCACTGACGCAAACTCTCCAGGCTGTTCATAAGGCTGGGTGCTTGAATCTGGCTGACATTGTGGAAGGCAGGTGTCTTTTGGTTTTAATAGCAACTTTACTTTCTATCGTTATATGTTTATGAAACATTGTTTTCCTTGTGAGTACTGCACCTTGTTTTAGATAGATAGTTATTATGAATGCTGTATTACTTTAATTGGATGCTGTTTATTTGCAGATATTAAGACAGCAGTTAAAAACAAAGTTCCTCTCGTTCGCTCTTTAACTTTGAACTGGGTGACATTTTGTATTGAAACAAGTAACAAAGCTGTTGTTCTAAAGATCCATAAAGATTATGTTCCTGTTTGTATGGAGGTCAGTAGGTGGCACATTTGAGCTTTCTCATGTTATCTTACTGTTAGTTCTTTACTCTTTAAGGAATGTCTTAAAAATTGTGGTAAAATAAATTTGGCATGCAGTGTCTTAATGATGGGACACCCGAAGTGAGGGATGCAGCTTTTTCAGTCTTGGCAGCAATCGCTAAGGTAAGAATTTCCATTTTATCATGCTGTTCATTTCTCAAATTCAAGGCAATACCTTTTTCTTCTTCAAAAATAATTTTGTTGTTCATCTCTTTAGTCTGTTGGTATGAGGCCTTTAGAGAGGTCACTAGAAAAGCTTGACGATGTTAGGAGAAAGAAGCTTTCTGAAATGATTGCAGGATCTGGAGCTGCTGGGTCTACAGGCACCGTCTCAGGTTTTTCAAGATTTTCTTTAGTGGCTTTCATGTCTTGTGTTTAATCTTTTGAAAAATTACTACATTTCAAGTAATTTTATATTTTTCATTGAACTCCAGCAACAGTTCAAAGCTCAGGTGGTGGCATGTCTTCCATTGAGGTGAGTTCACTCTTAGTCAAACTCTAATTCTTTAGTGTTAATTAATAGGTGCAATCAATTAATTACTATATGTTTTTAATATTAATTACTAAATCTTTGGAAGTAAGCACTTTTTCCCAAAGGGGAAAATGATATGGGATTGTCTAATTCGAAGGTTGCTGCCTTGTGGGCTGTGGTTGTTAGCCCATGTGCAGGGCCCAATGTTGTTATGTGGCCTGCACATGAGAAGGAACTGCACTTCCTCACCTATCACCAACTGGTTTTAGATTGGATACTCACATTTTATTCTGTGAATTTGTTTCTTTTGGTATCATTGTGATTTTGCAAATAATCTAGATAAACTCTTTTACAGCCATTTCATTTGGGTTTTATTTACTTAATGAGGTCTTAGCAAACATTTTTTTGGTATGGTGATGAGGCTTTAGTAATTATTGTTGTCTTTTCTCTACCCATCTATATATATATATATATGTACATGTATGTGTGTATGTTTATTCATGAAATGAAATTTAGAGTAACTATTTATAATGTTCTTTTGCTATGTATCAAAATTTTCACAGCCCTCAGATTCATTTGTTAGAAAGTCAGCAGCAAGTATGCTTAGTGGAAAGAAGCCAGTTGCAGCAGCTGTAAGCTTTTTATTTACTAATTCTGTGCTATTTTATTGTTGGACATATGTTCTTGTTCTAACTGGCATGCTGATATGTTTATCAGCCTGCTAACAAGAAAGGAGCTTCAGTTAAGTCTAGCACCAACAAAAAGGGGGATGGAGCAGGACGTGTAGACACTTCAAAATTGACAGAACCGCCTGAAGATGTTGAGGTAAACCCTTGCAGTGAAAAGCTTTGCTTTTTGATTGTCATATCCTTGTTTGTAAGATGTTAACATTCATTCTTCTCTTTGTTTGTTTTATATTCACAGCCAGCAGAAATGAGTCTTGAGGAGATTGAAAGCAGATTAGGTTCTCTCATTCCATCAGATACTATCTGTCAATTGAAGAGTGCTGCATGGAAAGAACGTCTAGAAGGTGAGTTATTATTTTTTGGAACCCCCTTTCTCTTTAAACTAGATCTGTCCTAAGAAGTATGTGCTTGTATGCATGCATGTGAATATAGTCATATAAGCTAGTAGATAAATGTGATTATGTTAACTCTTCACGACTTTCTTTCCTAATTTTTATTCTGCAGCCATAACCTCACTGAAACAACAAGTTGAAGCTGTGGAGGCGCTTGACCTCTCAGTGGAGATTTTGACCCGTTTTCTTTGTGCTGTTCCTGGTTGGAATGAGAAAAATGTTCAGGTATAGTTACAATTGTTTCTTCTATTGATTGCAAC